TTTTTTTTCAGGGATGCCCCTCACCTTGCTCAGCCCCCAAAGCGACAGCAAAGCGTAAGTTGCAACGCAGACAAAACGCCAAAGAGCAGAAAGGCAATAGCACGCAGCAGTCACAGTTGTCAGAGCTCCTGTTACAGCCATCAAACATCAACCCAATCCCACCCACAAAAAAAAGAGAGTGAGAGAAAAGACCAGAGAGAAAAAAAAAAGAGGAAGGAAGAAGAAAACATTGCTTTATCTTATCCGGATTAAAAAAAAAAAAAAAAGGGTGGTTCTGAGTCAGGAACATCATCATTAGGAATTATCCCTCGAAATTGGACAAATCCCAGGTCGGGTTTGGGATATTTCTTCAAATAAGTTCTTCCGAATAAATTACTCATAAACTGACGTAACACTCGAAGAATTTATGCGCATCACACAGCTGCCACTTTAGACACAAACAAATCGAAAATTAATTAGCTCTCATGGCACTTCGCCAATTTTTAATCAGGAACTATTTCAGCCTATTTTACCTAATAAAGGTATCAATTTCTATACAGAGCCAATACAGAAGAATTTGTAGCACTAAGGGAGGCATGGGATCATCTTCCAATAATTTAAACACAAGTATCTTCTATTTTAATTTTAAAAAACTCAATACAAAGAAACCTTTAGGATAAGTGAAATATCTTCATAATAATGAAAAAAGTTGTTATGAAGTAAAAAAGAGCACACAGGGTGGGCCAAAAAAAAAGTGAACCAATTTTTGACCTGAAATAGCTTGGAAGCAAATGGAGCTTCAGAAATGAAAAACTTGTTCAAAATTTATTTCACTCAAAATCAGTTTAATTCAAAATCATTTTCACTTAAAATCAGTTCCAGTCATCCAGAATAAAAAATTGCATGCAGTGGTTTTTGGTGCATTTCCCTTATTCATGCAAGCAACTAACTCTCCAGAACAACAGCATAGTGGAAAAAGTTTGCCTCACAACTTTTTTTGTTGTTGAAAGTTTTCATTCAAAGGGTTCTTGTGACCATTCTGTGGAACTAAGATGACCATCAAAACTACATATCATTTGAAATAAAATTGAAACAAAAAACTTTAATTTGGTGCTTTCTTCCATTGCCACAGCTCAATTTGCTACCAAGCTATTTCAAGTCAAAAAATGGTTCACTTTTTGTTGGCCCACTCTGTATAATCATATTTTATTCTTGAAAAGAGAATTCTGGGGAAGGCGGTGCAGAAATTATTTCCCTTGCAGCTCAAAAATTGCTTCCTTGGGCAGAAATAACAACAACAACAACAACAAAACAAATTCGTTGTAATGAGTAATTTCGTTACAAGGATAAGAAGCAACTTTTTCAAAACCTCACCAAAACTTTGCGTCACCCAAATGCCGATCATGTCGAAGGTGAGCAACCGCTTGTACCATCTCGGATCATGGTTGTAATTCATGAACAACTGTCGCAAAAAAATAAAAGATTTTCCGATTTAAAAATAAATAAATCACGAATACCCAATACAATGACTCACGTGATAGAGTGAACTGCCGACCCAAGAAGACCCGCTGGCGACCAGCGCGAAAACAGGCAGCAAGGGTACATCGACATTGTCCCAGGGCACCAGGGACTTGCCCCTGATCATCACGTACAGCAAGGGGGACACTGTCAAAGAAAAGAAAAAAAATAATTACATCTTTATTTTGCAACACAGAGCACATCAAAGAGCCACAAATGAAAACAACTTTCAATTTTTACAATTCACATGCTGAAGCAGAGAAACCTCACAAATAAAATCACCCCTTTTTTCCCAAGGTTATACAAACTTTTGGCACACATTTTTTCAGCATTCTGGAACAGTCTTCCCCAAACTTCTGCAGAAGTTTTTTTTTGCCAATCTGTAAGAATATCTTTTGGCATAATCAATTTATTGAATAAGCAACCTTCATCTGAAATTCTGAGAAGACAATGACAGTTCAAAGTATTTGATGAAAAATAAAAGTTGGCTTTCCTCATAGTGACACTTCAGACACATTTTTCACCTGCTGGAATAAATGTTTAAAAAACAATTTTCTGAGAAACCTTTCTTCAAGCCCAACTTTCCAATTTTTTCTAAGACATTCCACAAAAGCATCTTCACTGGTTCTCAAGTAAATTTTTGAAAAAAGGCAAAAAACAGCAACTTTTCAAATACTTTGCATGAAATTTTTCCAATCAAGCTTTTATGAATCTGCAAAAATGTTTTATTTAACATTTGCTGGACTGCAGAAAATGTTTTGGAAACTTGCTGGTCCATGGGCCAAAAGAGTTGAGGAAAGACTACTGTAAAAGACATAAAAAAGGTAGTATCCAAAACAACAAACAAATGTACATGTGCAAATTGATGAATGAATGGTAATTTTGAGGGTATGAAACCAATTACACATTCAACATAGACAGGGAAACATCATCACAACAAAGCCTATGGGACTAGTGAAATAATTTGTCCATTTAAAAATTGTCACACAGTAACTCAATTAAAATTTGCAGTTTTTGTGAAGTGACCTAATAAACTACTTGTTGCAATAAATTATTTGTTATAATGAGATTTGTTGTATCAGGATTCCCCTGTACCATATTAACTTTCAGACCACACAAAATGTTTCTTCAAAAAGTATGATGGAAGGGTTTCCAACTTTTCCAAAGTTTGGACATGGAGTCACTATTCAAGAAAATATTAGACAAATTAAAAATATCATTTATTGAACCAATC